GTAAACACCGAACATGTTAGCAAGCTTTGTGAGGAAAAGATAAATAATGTAGCAGTGACCTCACTGGTGGCAAAAATAAGTTTGACTGTTCGGAAACCTACAAGAAAATCATCATGCAATAAAATACTCTGCTCTATTTTTATGAATTAATGTCATTAGTATCTCGTTAATTCAGAAAAAACGAAACAAAAATCATTCCAAAAAATCGATCTTGTAGATTTGCAAAACAGAAACGTTTTTTTTGTCTCGAGTGAATGCAAGACGTTTCTGTAACTTATCACTTGATTTGTTTTCCCAATTTGTCATGATATTATGGTTTTAAATATGACTTCAAGCATGATGTTTACTGTTTCACCACAACGATTTCAGCCGAAAACAGTGGCCTTTGTTTGTGGTTTGCTTATCCGTTCATTCCTTTACAAGCGCCTGAAAACAGAAAGTTTTGAAAAACGGCATCGTCTCTGTCGTCGAGTAAATTGGCAATCCACAGTTCCTCTGAAAACGGAGACTTCTTACACATGTGCTTCACGGTTCCAGTCAATATCCATGCATGAGTAAGGTGGACTACAACAACAATGGCCGACTCTCGAGTTCTGTTTCTGTTTGTTCTATTTAATTTAACAAGCAACCTGAGGAAGCTACAAACGGAGCGTTGTTCACTCTCAATAAAGTTACAGTGAAGTAACTTTCAGTGTGCCCAGGATTATTGATTTATTTTTCATTGTTTATTACTGCAACCGAGCGGCACCTGGGTATAAAGGTTGGCTGTGCACGGGGTGCCCTGTTGGTTATTTAGATTACCCAGGTGTCCCTAACCCTTACCCCTAACCCTAACCACACCAAGAAAGAGATTGATTTAGAATAGTTTATTGGAAGGTGCATAGACGAGATCAAAATGATGAGCGAGGTTGGATGATCAGAAGATTGAGGGTGGAAAGATGAAGGGATGAAGGTTAGGGTGCAAGGAAGGAGGGATGAAGGTGAGGGGGTAAGAGTTTGGGGATGGAGGTAAAAGCAGAGGGATGAATGGATGAATGTAAAGGTCGGTAGGTGAACGGAAGAAGAAGTTGGACTTGTGTCAGACGTGTAGGTACGACTTGAGGTTACTGAGCCAAGTTTCAAAAACTATATGTTTGGATTTATAGCTACATTAGCATCCAGCCTCCCCTGCTAGCATGTCTCAAGTTGGGAGAAACCTAGAGAGTAACATTCAGTTAAACCCTGAAATAAAACTTTCTCCTCGTTTGCTCCTAAAAGGTGAAATTTTTGCCTGAGATTCAAATCTCCTGGAGACTGTGAAACAAATCACAATAGTACGTTTATATCAGCTGATATTTTTACACTCTTACACATGAGTAACTCAGATGCTCGTCTACGGACACTAACGTCCTAAAGAGCTGCTGTACGTTCACTCTATAGTCACTCTGGATAACGTGCGTTTATGTGCATAGATAAAATGTGTCATCATGGTGCGCGTTCTTTTAATCGTAATTACAGTCATCCGGGCAACAGGTCAGTCTTTTAGGATTAATCTGGCATTGTTCTCCGCATGCTAATCCTCAGTAAATGCTGCAGATTAGTACGTGATGGCTTTTGTATTAAGTCCAATGGTTATTCAAAGTGCACTAAGCCTATTCCACTCTCATTAATGACCCATTGGCCTTTTTTTATGTACATCATCACTGAAGAGAGAGAGCGCTGTTTGAAAAATGAAAGCTTTCAGAAAATCATCGCACATTTTATTTCTTAAATCCCACTATCTTTAAGGCCAGAATGCACTCAGCTAATGCTTCCACTGTAACCAACAAGGACACTGGATCTAATGCCAGTCGTCATGTTATGAACACAAGGTGGTGAGTTTTTCATGAATGGCAAACGTCTCTGTTTGCAAGAGGACACGTGTTTGTCTTCATGAAGGAATAATCTTTGGGGCTAGCGGTGTGTCAAGAACACGTCAAGGCAATCAAGGTGATGACCTGAACCCAGAACCTAGACATATCCAGAAGGGGTAATATTTGCAGGGGTTTGTGCAAAACCATACAAACTTCCATGAGTAATGCCAAGTCAAAATTAACTTTCTGCTGATTCCAAACTATACAACTTTCCGTCTCACGCTCTGTTTCACCCTCCTGCTTGTTATTTATACTTTATTTCAGAGTGTGTTACTTGTTATTCAACAGATTATCTTTTAAAATAACCAAACCTGAACCTGCAAGATACTTTACAGGAAAACTACCATAAAATCTTGACACTAAACCATGTTTTTGGAGGTGTCTTGAAGGTGTCTTGAATGGTTGCCATAAGATTCAATAAAGGTGATATGGTGCAGTTTCTGTACAGCTGTGTTGCTCTTTTAGCAAACCTAGCTGTAGTTGTTCTACACATTCACCCATCTGAGGGTAGATGCTGCTATGTGAGGTGTCCATCAGAAGTAACTAATCCCATTCATACACTGCTGATGAAGCAATTGGGGGTTAAGTGTCTTACTTGAAGACACATTGGACATGTGGCTGTAGCAGCTGGGATTGAACCCCTGACCTTCCTCTTGAAAGGTGACTGACTCTACCAACTGAGCCACAGCTGCCGTGATATGTTCTTGGGCAAGACACTTAAACCCCAAATTGCTTCATCAGCCACATATGAATGTGTTTCAATGGATTAGTTACTTACCATCAGTGTGTGAATGTGTAGTTGTGACCTGCGGCGCTTTGAGTAGTCAGACGACTAGAAAAGAACAGTACAAGCTCAAGTCCATTTTACCATTTATATAACAAATGTCAAACTTTTACATGGAAAAAAAAATTATAGATGGAAAACTGCTCACCTGGAAGTCATGTGTGTTTTGCTGACTCAGGTTAAACTCAGGTTTAAAATAAGGTTAAAGAATAGTCAGCCGTTTGGTTTTTTTTGTTACTAGACTCTGACAAAAAGATTTGACTCTTTGTGCGGATGACAGGATGAACTTGTTGGAGGCTTTTCTGTAAAAAAAACAAATTACCATTTGGCTGTTAAATCCCCGTCTGCTGCTTTCAGTCTCATGTAACAAACCGTCATTTTTTTGGAAAAGATATTTGATTGTCTCGCTTTCAGTGAGGATTATAATTCTCCATCATGGAACAAACAGCTGCTCTCTTCGATGGTCCATCAGTGGTTTTTGATGGTGCGTCATGCGTTTTGGACATATTTGTATATTGGATGCATTTTGGATAAGTGCAGTCAAACTTAGTGGGGCATGCCTGTATGTAATTTCACTGATGGATGCTGCTATCTCTACTCTTCTCTCGGGCTCTGGCTTCATGAAAACATTAGCAATATGGTTTGTGTGCCCATTTAGTCTAATTGCAGGGATGCTCAGCGGGTAAAGCGTACTAACTCCACAAGAGTTAGGGGTCCCGCTTTCTCTGCAGCTCATTGTGCTGCCTACAGTGCCCAGGCTTGAGATTTGAATCCCACTTTGTTTGAATATACAAAAAGAAACAGTGTTTTCTGGATCATATGAGATTCTTCTGCTTTCTTGGAATGAATTCTCCTTTTCTTCTGCAGTATGGCAAAAGAAATACAAACAATCGCTAAAGCAGTGGTTCTTTAACTTCCTCTGTTGTTCCGTTATTTTCTCCTTGGAGGAAAAAATGTGGTGATTAAAAGGGCCAAGTTAAGAATTATTAAAGGAGCAGTATGTAACTCTGACACCTAGTGTTTAAAATGGGCACTGCAGTCCAAATTCAAAACATTGTAGAAAGCTGTCTCCCCCCGCCCCCTCCTCTCTATTTATCGAATTTGGAGTTGATCTGTTTCATAAACTGTCAGCTGTGATGGCCGAGAGGTTAAGGCGTTGGATTCGAAATCCAATGGGGTCTCCCCGCGCAGGTTCGAACCCTGCTCACAGCGTAATCCTTAATTATACACTACTCCCTACGTTCAGAAGTTTCTGTATAAGTTAATGCTCACGTAGGTCACCATGTGGTGGACTCTGAAGCTTCAGTGTTTATCCAGCTCTGCATCGGTCTGTAAACCTTTCTGCGTTCTAACCTCTCTCCATTTTTCAAAAGCATCTCCAATATTGATCCTAGTTTGAGTTTGAGCACGTTTCTGCTCTTTAATTCTTACATAAGTTACACCCCTGACAAGGCAAATAGCCCAGCATCTGGAATGGCCAATCAGATTTCAAGGGGTTCAAGATCGCCCCTGACTACACCTCTGGATACACCCCACTTAAGGGTGATGGATTGGATTGGATCTGTTAGCAACTCCAGGATGTTTTTCTCTTACTTTAGTACAATGGTTCTTGAAAATGTGATTTACGAGCCCCAAGGACATGACAGAGGGGGTACGGGCAACCTGGGTAGTCAACCTACAAGTTTTTATGAAACTTCAACACCACTTGGTATACAGTAGATATGTGTTGAATGACAGTTTGATAAATTAAGCCATTATCCAGAACTTTATTGTCCAATCCAAAAAAAGAAAGACAAAGGAATGTAAGGTAACTTTATTTGGTTTACAGTGAGGGAGTCATCCTTCTTTTACGTACAGTCGACAGTCTTCAATACTTAGAGGACGATCCTTATTTAAAACAAAATAAATCGTGCCATCAGAGAGAACAAGGCAAATTAAACCAAGAATCTAAACAATGTTTCCCAAAGAGAAACAGTCTGTAATTAAAGATGAAAGAAAACTCATCTTTCGAGCTGATTAAGTGACAGTGAAGCAGCATGTGAGGGCATTAAAGGTTGAAACGAGGCCATTGTCAGCAGCTGTAGATTATCACTGCCATTGTTATAATCCCTCATTGCAATGCTATTGCACATTACCATATGTTTCAGGCTGTGATTTCATCACTCATTTCCAAATAACAATCATCAGTCTGTTTATTTGAGAGCAGTGGCTTTTGTTGCTCGAGTGTGATTGGATGAGTTTCTGCACTGAACTAAATTGAGACAGAATCTCTGCAGTCTGGAGGATCTCATGTGAATATGTATGTAGAGAACTTTTTCTCTTCACGCTGTGAGCAGGATTCAAACCTGCGCGGGAAAAGCCCATTGGATTTCAAAGCCAAAACCGTAAGCTCTCGGCCATCACAGCTGTCTTTCATTAATTTAAGGCAACAAGCCACCAAAATAAAAATCTTTCAAAAACTAAACTAAAACAAAAGAGATCTTCAAAACTTACAGAAAGAAGCCTCATTGCATTACGAGTCCAATGCCTTCACCACTTGGCCATCACAGATTAGCTACTACAGTAGCAAGTTCATCAAATTTTAGATTCTGGGTGCGTTCGAATTGTCCCTCCTATCTCCTTTCACTATCCACTTTACCTTAACCCCGGGGAAAACGTCATGAGGTTAATGAGGTTAAGGAAATATGTTAGGAGAATTCATAAAGGACTTAGGGAAAGGCAATCGCGTTGCTCTGACAATCCAACCACATTTCCACTAGGCAATGACTAGACGTCATTAAATGCGACGGGCCGGCGGAGGTTAATGACGTGGGTCCGCCGTGTTGAAACTACAATGTTCAGAAAATGGACTACAAAAAACCCATCTAAAAAACTTTCCCCTGTGCCTTTTTACCGGTGAAATAATCCTAATCACCACAAGGTTGGGATTGAAATAAAAGCAATATAGACTACCAGGCTACAAGTAAGAAAAGTGAAACCATCAGCTTCCTGTCCACTCAGAAATCAACGTCAAAATAAATATGAAATTAATTGTTACATGTATGCAAGACAAGAATGTACAACTGAAGAAATGCACAAAACATTCTGAATTGAATGAAATATGTTGAATAAAACATCATCTGGCTCAAGATGTCTCTGATCCCTTTTTACCTGAAAGACAGGGTGATGTTTTTTATGGTGATTATAATCTGATTATATGGCTTTGCATAATATCTCAAGAACCTTAATCAAGGCGAGGGTTTCAGCATCTGTGACTAAAGGAAAGTTTAACGTTATTTATGATATTGCTGCCAAAACACTCAAAGTGGATAAATAACGAATGCTAACTGAGCACAGGCTGCAATAAAAGTTAAACTCACTTTGATAATTTTACAACATCAGCATAACGTTCATAGTTCGCCTACGGGTTAAAGAGTGTTGAAAGTTGTTCAAGGCATATTATTGCACTGGTAACTTAAATGATCGCCGTCCCTTTTTCTGTCATCGTTAATGTTCGTGAACGGAACGGAACGGATGCGCGAGTCGCTTTAAATGTTGCGGCCGCAAGGAATTGTGGGGCGTCATATCTCATCTCCTTTCGTAAAGGATGGTCCAGTGTATCCTATGCTAAAGGAGGTTATAAAGGAAGCATTGATCCACCTTTCCTTAGCTTTTAGAGAATTCGAACGGCTCTTATCATGGCCGCCACTTAAATGCTTCCGGGGTTAAGGTAAAGTGGATAGTGAAAGGAGATAGGAGGGACAATTCGAATGCACCCTCTGTCTTGGGGCTTGCTAGAACATACCCTTCTCAACCCATTGATTAATGTATATTTAGAGATGACGCTGTGAGCAACATGTGCTGTGTGTCAACAACAAATCAGCTAGGTATCCGACAAATTCCTGTCACACAGTTGAGAAAAAGATTTACATTGGAAGGATAATGAAGGGAAGATGCCGTGGAAATGTTTGACCTCCCCATAGTACAACAACGAACAACTAAGAAAAAACAATGTGAGTGAATTAGAATCTCTTTAAAATTTTACAACATAGTTGAAGTGGCAGTAGTGGTTGGTCCAACCATTCCTCGCTCAGTAGTGTTTGTATTTGTTGTGAACCGCAACACTAGAAGAGAGTAAAAAATGGAGGATCTGAAAAGCGATGGGTTAACTAATGACATTTTGCTTGCCCATTCTCACTGATAAATTAGAAGTTTGAACCGTTCCTAAATACACAGTTTTCTTGAACTTGGTCAATGATGGTGGTTCATTCAAATGGTTGAATGAGCACCTAATTGAATACAGAGGATGGGGCTGCACATGAGCAGGTCAGTGAATTCGGTTGTTTTTTTGTTGATGAGCCCATCAAGTTAGTATCATCACAAAGAAATTTGGTACGACATTAGCAAGTTCGTCAAATTTAAGATTCTGCTTTTGGGCTTGCTCAAACAAACATGTCTCCGCCATTGGAGGAGGGCTAGCGCTGTGAGCAGGGTTCGAACCTGCGCGGGGAAACCCCATTGGATTTCGAGTCCAACGCCTTAACCTCTCGGCCATCACAGCTGTATAAATTGTGATATATCAGCTAGAAATTCTACAAATTCCTTTCACACGTTCTCATTCTTATTGATAAATTTGAAGTTTGAACCATGCCTGAATGCACAGTTTTCTTGAACTTGGCCAATGATGTGACCCCCATGATCCTGTACCCCATTGGATTTTGAGTCCAACACCTTAACCTCTCGGTCTTCACAGCACATACAGACACAGGAATGCAGCTATATCTCTCAATTTTTTAAATCATTAACTCCTGATATCCCTTCAGAAATGGTGGGGATCGAGGTGGATTGTAAATTGTAATATGTACAATGTACAAAAGCGCTACAATACAGAAAACTAATGAAAAGAGCGTAAGGAGTCTTTGAACTTTATTGGTGATAAGTTCCAAAGAAATTACTAAAGCCGTCTTTATTACATGACTCAAGAACTCATTCAAGTAAGACTCGGATATAAACAGGGTTTGAATCTTTGTGGGGACAACCCATTGGGTTTCCAGTTACACTGGAGTCACAAATTATTTTTTACAAAGTTTCTGAATTTCCTTGCCCTTGAGGAAAGACAGTCCACATTACAAGTAAATGAAACCGCTCATCATTAATTACGATTAGCAAATGAGATTACCCACAGCTGTCAGACCACACACACACACACACACACATACACCGGACAGCAATCGGGTGCTTCTTGCTTCCCTGCTGCCATGCCTAATTTCATTATTCTATTAAACAAGCTTCATTAACAGAGGCTGGAGAGAGAAATGTTATTTCTAAGCTTTTATATACTGTGCAATATGAAGCCACAAAAGCTCCCTCGCCCTGTTTTATCCCTATTGAGTCTTTGTTTTCTGTTGGTCCCAAGTGACCTCTCTGGGAAGTGTTAATGTCATATTTCTTCCCCCTTTCTGCTACAAATGATGCCAAGAGATGTACAACAGGAGAGACCATTCTTACGAGTAGGTAAAGTCTAAGATGTACATCCAAAACTGAGTCAGTGTGAGCTTGTTTAACGTACAGAATTTTTATTTACTTTTATTTACTGTTGATGGCACATTAATGGGCAGTAAATGGTGTCAGGAGTGGAGGGTGCTCGATCAACCATTTTGGGCTCAAAAGTTCATATAAATGTGTCATCAGTTGGGATTTTAGTGGCTATGATTGCCAAAACATTTGTGCTTTGTGTTGAAAAAATGCTTGAAATTGCTGCTTGAAATACATGCAATAACCTGGGAACATATGAGGCATACTGGTTTTAAACTTCCAGTAGAAAGAATAATCAGAGTTGTACATTTTGGAGTTTAAGAGTTGTCACAGCTGTGATGGCCGAGAGGTTAAGGCGTTGGACTCGAAATCCAATGGGGTTTCCCCGCGCAGGTTCGAACCCTGCTCACAGCGGATCTGTTTCTGTATTATAACACTTATTGTGTCTGATGCTGTTTACTACAAAACACTTGTTTAGAAGTAGAGTGCTAGAGGAAGAGGAATGTACTCCTCTGTGAATTTCCTAGACCAAGATTACGAGCAAAAAAGCTGCGCCAGTACAAATAATAATAATAACAAGTAATGTCCTTACCAACATTACAATGGTATGACCTGGTGAGAAACTTTCTAAAATTGAAGACCTTGGTGATGCCAGTGCAAAAACAAAACAAAAAAAGCCACAGGCCCTAAATCTCTACACTGCAGGACAAATTCATTTTCCAGATTTTCTTCTGGAAGATTACTGGTAGCTTAAAAGCTGGAAAACTGTCATGTTTCAACCTGCTTAGCCTCTACTTTAAACAAGTATAGAGCCAAATCCTGCAATCTATAAATGGGAGTGAGTTAATGAAGCGACACTTGCGTGAGAGTGTTTGTGTGTTAATGAATAAGGGGCAAAAAGAGAGATGGATGAATGTGAAAGTGACAGGAAGTTGTGGCGCCTAGATGATGGAACGCAAAGAAAAACACAGATATTATCTATTTTTTTTATCCTAGAATGAACAGGCCCATTAGCTGCGATGATGCAGATCATTAAAATATCTCCAAACCTCCACCTGCCGCTGCCCTCACAAGCTCCAGCCTCACATCATTACTTCACATCCCATCTCACAGCACTCGCTCATATAAACCCACCAGTTAATGGCATCACACGCCTAATATAACTGCAAGGTGCAAGGTTAACGCACAATAATTTAGTGTGGGCTCTTCATTATTCTAATGACTCGTAGTTTGCATTGCTGTGCCCTCCAGAATCACCAATCACCAGGGGGAAAAAATGCAGGCAGTGAGCCTGTTTGGCCCATTGACGCACCAGGAATTCAAACAATCACGCTCCATTTTCAACTGGTTCAGCTTGGAACACAACAAATGATTTGATTCCAATAGGTTTGTTTTTTTCAAAGTGACATCATTGTTTTACAGTTGTTGGGAAGATCCATTATACTTTGCTTAGCAGTGAAATATATGCATTTTATGCTTTGGTCATTTCCTCCAGATCCACTTTTTAAGATTTTGGTAAAATTGTCTTTAGGTCCTGACAGAAATTAATAACTCAAGTTATCTGAAAAAGGAACGAAGAAAATCTGTCATCCGTATCAGTTGTAAGTCTGTAAAAGCTTTGACCCAATGTCTGCCCCGAGGTACCAATCTGATGAACCAATCAGACCCTGTCTCCCTGCTCGCTCTCTAACCCTTGTGTGCGATAGCCCACACTCAAAGCGAGTTTATACTGAGAGTTTACTTATGAGAGAAGAGACAACATAGTTTCTACACAATGCAAGAGATGAGCTGAGGTCCACGTCTGGACCAATGGCGTATATTTGCATTTAAGTTAGCTTAAAGATGATTAAGAAATAATTATTAGATATCAAAGTAGACTTTCAAAGAATAACTAACATAATCATGCCTTTAAAATAAACAACAAGGATGCTTAAAACGTTTTATCTTTAATTCCATTCCAACAGTGAATATCAAATAAAACATATTTCCATCTTTTTATGCCTATTTGTCGGGTACATTTTCTCCCTACATGCATGCATTGCCAAACAAAAGCTGTTTATTGGTGGCAGGGCACCTCATAAATCTAAATGGGATAAATGGGGTCACTGGTTTTGGGGGGTAATAAGGATAAGCAGGTGATCTATTACAGGCTCAGAGCTGCAGGTGTTTCCTGAAGCTAAATCCCCAAATCGCAACTTGTGGAAGATATAGTGAGCTGAGCTGGGAGGGGTGAGTAAGCCTGAGAGTGCAAAGAAGGTGTTGGAGAAATAAAAAAGAATGTTTATATTTGTTACCAAATTTTATTTTTTAATGACAGGTTACAACAGGACGACATGAAATACTTGCTTGATCAAGGTTATCATTTTTAAGAACACTGATAAAATAACGAAAACTGAAATAGGATTTACCAAAAGTTAAATAAAATAAAACAATGTAAAGATTTCCATAGTTTTCATCTTTGACACAGTCATACTAAATGACACATGCTTTATCGTTTGTCTCAGGCACACAGACTTCAGTTTTGCATGAAGTATATGTGCACACATTTGGTATCAGCCATGACAAGTATCACAAGTTTTGTTTATGGTCACATATTCTGCAAAATCTTCTTCACCATGTTTCTCTAACACCAACATGTGTCTCTAGTCCGTCTACAAACCCCCCAATGATGAGAAAAGTCCATCCTCTCTGTCTTCTGCCTGCTCCACTTTTCAGAAAATGTGTGCTCAAACAGGCCGTTTGGAGATTTTCCCTTCATGACATCACAAAGGGCAGTAGCCCCTCCCCCAGATGGGTGACACTCCCACAGCTAGATGTTTGTTCTGCCCTCTGAGCCTGCCTTCTCACCGTAAACAATAGGACATGGAGCAAGAAAGCCCGAGCCAACCAGAGCCCTTCCAGAGAGGGGGCGTGGTCAGACACAGCTCATTTACATATTTAAAGCTACAGACACAGAAACAGCCTGTTCTGAGCAGGGCTGAAATAGAGGGGTTTATAGGCATGATCAAATACAGGATCAGAGTGTATTTAGAACAAGAAACTTCACACACATGTTTTGAGGAGCTCTGAGACTTATTTAAACTGGTTGAAGAGGAGGAGATTATGTGAAACTAACAGAAACTAATCCAAACTAAACACAAATTATGTCTCTGTCTCTCCAATAAAGGCACAAAATACCTCAAAATAAACCTAAAATTTAAAAAAAGATTCAAGAAGTGCGACTGGGTCATTAAGACTGACCTTCTCCTTCAGTTTGAGCTCCTTTCCATCCTGTCTTCAGTTCTTAATAACTAACACCTTTCAATTATGGCGTCTACTTCTGAGCCGCCGTTCTGTTTGTTTTTACTCCGTCTGTTTAGTGGGAACTCTAATATCTCTACTGGCCTTGCACGTTTCGCTCATGCACTATCCTGATAACATGTTAAAATGAGTTCATTCAATCTCTTTTTATGGCTGGGAGTGAAAATAAAACTATGTGAAAGCATTCAAATCGTGACAGTAATTTGGCTCTTTTTGCAAACTGTCACCCATGGGCTCATTTTTAAATAAATAAATGTTATGGATGTTGGGTCAGCTGTGGTGAAAACGCTTGAAGATTTTAAACATGTTTGATTCTTTCTTTTCAGGGCGGAGCGACATGTTAGTGACCGTCAACAGCATCAAAAACCACTGGGAGACCACAGCATCGTCAGCCGAGGATGCAGACACCTCGAGTGAGTCTTTTTCCTCCTTTTGTTTTGAAACTTTTGTGTATTTGATTTCTTCATTTTACATTCCCAGTTCTTGATCTGTCCACAGACACGTGCAGTTTGGAGGTGAAAGAGAACCAGGTTGATACGCGACCTCTTGACTGTGACCTTCTGCGGAAATATCATCCATCTGAGTTTTGCTCAACTCTACCAGCGTGCGAACCCCGAGCTCTTAAAAGGAAGCAGCCGCTGGGGAATGGAAAAGACCGACTGCTTTACCGAAGCCACCTGGCGTGTAAAAGAGCGGCGTGGGCTGTCACTCATAAGAACGCGCTGGTGCAGCTGAACGAGCTACGACCCGGTCTGCGGTATGAGATCGTGTCAAAGAGTGGCCCGCTGCATGCTCCGGTGTTTTCCGTGGGTGTGGAAGTGAATGGTTTCCAGTTTGAAGGCGTAGGACGGACCAAAAAGCAGGCAAAGATGAGGGCTGCAGAACTCGCTCTGCGGTCATTCATTCAGTTCCCAAACGCCTCCCAGGCGCACGCCACTATGGGGAACTTAACCAGCGCTCGTACGGATTTTACAGCAGATAAACTGGACTTCCCCGACTCTTTACTCAAAGAGTTCGAGCCATCGCTGCGAGAAAATGGCGACCTCATGTACTGCAACACAGCCAAAAAGGCAGTTTTCTCCAGTATTTACGACCGCAGACGACTCGTCCGACTCACACTGGACTTGGTCTCTTCCACAAGTCCAAAAAGACCAGTACTCACCACCTCACTTTTTAAACACCTCAGCCCTGTGCTGCTGCTAAACGAACTGCGACCAGGACTCAGGTACATGTGCCTGACAGAGAGAGTTAACGGCAGGCCAATGAGGAGCTTTGTCATGGTGGTTAGGGTGGAGGGGAAAGTGTTTGAAGGGTGTGGTCACAGTAAGAGGCAGGCCAAGGCCCAGGCAGCAGCAGCCGCCCTACAGGACATGTACAACATTTGTCCAGGACCGGAGGGGAGGATCATGGGTCTTCAGGGAAGCAGAGCCAAAAATCAGCTACCTCAGGTGAGCAGGTTGGCCTTCTCTTACAGAAGTCTTTTGATGAACCAAAACAGGAAGTAGACATAATCAGATGTTTAGGGCAGTGAGGAAAGAAGGTCCAAGGTTCAGGGCTGACCAGAAAGTGTATACATATGGAAGACAAATCTTCAACTCCTACTGGTGTACAAAACTGAAGTCAAAATACCTCCTGAGAGATGGATGTTTACATGTTGCATGTGTGTGTCCTTCCGCTTTCACTGACCAAAATACACATTTAACCAATTCATATCAGACACTCACAGTTATGAAAATGTCAATGACGCTTGTGTACATTGTTTTTGTTGAGAAAAGCACCACAATCTTGAGCATTAGCACGGCGTTTCAGTGTTGTCGGTATTTATTTTGCAGTCTTTTCAGATGTAATATGTGTGTAAAGCATCAACTAACTAACTAAAAGTAAATATTTCAGGAAAATGAACACAAAGATGTTTGAGAGAAACCTATTTGACGTGTATTTTGATGTTGTAGTTCACCCCATGTCCCATCTGTAAAGATAGAGGAGGCAGAGTTTATGACCTAGGGCTTCTGCAACCAGCCCAGCCCACAACATGTGAAATAAACCCATCCAGTCCTTTGTTTGTGGTCTGTATAAGTCTTACAACACAGAGAAAAATGTTCCGTTTACAATGTGCTCTCCTTGTGATGTCACAAGTTGGATTGTGGTAAAGAAATCCCCTCCCCTCCCCTGGTATCTCCACCCATTGACTCCACCCCCAGCCTAGAGCAAAACTTTTGTGCAGGTCGGCCATTTTTACTCTCGCTACAGAGGAGTAATGTCTACTGGGAAAACTCAGGGGGGGTCATTGCATTTAAAGAGACACACACACCAAAACGGAGCGTTCTGAGAGAGCTGGTTTATACAGGGTCACAAACCTCCTCTGGTGCTTGATTCATGTTATATTTTGACCAAAGCACAGCACAGATGTTTCATTTAGGCCACAGGAGACTGTTTGAAAAGGTGGAAAAGGGGGATAATGTGTCCTCTTTAAGTCGAGAAATAGGAACACTGATGGGCTTTCGTGACACAGCATTACACAGATTTGTAGCTCAAGTTGAAATTCAAGATCTGAAAGATTGTCAGCTGCATTGCATGCAGGTATCTGGTGAAAGATGATATCAATAGTCGACAGAGCAACGTTGATAGGAGCCGTGATGTCATTACAGCCGATTGCGTTCCTCCTGCTTTTGCTCTACACAGACTTTTTTTCAGACCGGTTTGTCCAGTCAGCACTTTAAATCACTCAGAATCAGTGGATCAGTAAAGTCTTCAGATGTTTGAGACACCTCTCCCTCCCTTTGAGACATCAGCGGTGACGAGCAGTGACTCTGAATTCGCTCTTTATCTCTTTAGCTTTCTCCAGCACTTTCTAAATGGTCTGGATAAATGGGGCTGAGGTGCTGCCAAATGGAGTGTGCCGCACATCAGCATGGCCGTCGTGTCCCGAGGCCCCGAGAGCTGGATGTTGTCCTGTACACTCGTCTGTAGCATCCAAACAACTCCATTATGTCTCAGAGAATCGTCCTCGACATCTTTGGTTGTCGCACTTTATGAAAACAAGAGGATCTGCAAAACAACGTCTTCCAAATATGCAAAGGAACACGGAGATGTTAGGCAAACATGGAGATACATAATAAAACCCTGGGGGAGATTTATGCACAGAGAGCCGGATGATAACATTGTGGACAAAGAAAATACTTAAATGCTCTGAATTTTCCTCCTCCTCTTTTTTTTTTTTTTTACTTTAAAAGCCTCCCCAACTGATCATTTAACATCGTCCCCCCCTCCAGTATGAACTGTCTGTCAGCCGGCGTGACGCTTTAATGAACATTATTACAGCACATTAGGGATGAAGGAGGAGCGGCAGCAGACCAAGGAGATTGAGGTGGAGCGAGAAGGCGGTGTGAAGAGCATAATAATCCGACAGATAATTGTTTAACACACTCATTACACACGACCTTGTGCCACTGTCAGCCAGAAAACGTCGAGCCAGAGAGTTTTGCTCCAGAGAAACACCTGCTCTTGGAAAAAAAAAAAAAAAAACGGGTGCCACATAAAATAGTAAAGGCGTTTAAGATACAGGCTGTTACACACACAGAGGTCATGTCTCGGTTATATTTTCAGGAGTTTTAGGTGGTTAATGACATGAAGAGTTGGGGTTTTACACATTCACATCACGAGTTATACTCTGATCACCATGATGACTTCAGAACATTTTTTTTTTAACGACCTTGTGAGTTTTACTTTGTTTCTTATCTTCTTTGCACCGGATGTTAAAGGAAGGATGTGCAAACTTTTACACATAAATACAGCAGAAATCCAGTATGTCTTCTGTAAATGTCTGCAGAAGAACAATAAGTCACATATACACCCATTAAAAAAAAAGCATTTTAAAGCAGAAATTAACATGTTTACAGCCTGGTACAAAAAACAAAATAGGTCTGATTGTCGTTAGATTGACTGAAAGTTAGACTGAGACAGCATTTCCAGCATAGTGGCTGCTGCCGATGAGCCTCCAGAGCCCCCTGCAGGAACAGATGGGTGATGTCACTCAGGCGTCGTCCATTAATATTTACAGTCTATATGGTTGAAACACACATGCTTCAATGATCGCTCTGTTACGCTATTGGTCCACAGATAAACATACTCACTGTGTATCCTACGAGACATTTTGTCAAACTGTTATTAGCCAGGCAACTTAGCTAGCCATGCTACGTACGTGTAGACCAATCTGATGTCTTACTGGCCAACATGTCACTCATTTTGAAGCATTTTGCTGCATCTGAGGCGAGGGGCCTTTCTCCTTCTTATTCCCGCCCCTCTCTGCTCCACTTTTCCTTTTCTTGTGACCGTACATTTCCCACGGCGATGATGTTGTGATATTGCTTCTAAAAAAAATGGGACAGTGGTAATAAAAGACTTGAAAAGTTTTTAAATGCCCCCCCCCAAAAAAAAAAAACACCTTTCGGAACTTCTTGTTGTTTATAAGGTTAACTGGCAACAGTTTAGGGGCATGACTCAGGTAGACAAAGGGACTCTTATGGCGTCATTTTTTGAAGACAGCAGCTGGGACACTGCAGCATCTCGCTGAGCTCAATAAACCAACCGCCAGAGTAGCACTTCCATCTGATGATATGTATCTTCAGAGAGGTCTATTCACTCATTCTTGCTGTTCACATTGACCGCACACAGCATGCAAATTAGATTGGGCATTCCACCAGGACATGTCCCGGTGCTCCTGACGTTCAATCTGAGCCGTATACAGTAAAGCTTTGAGCCTGCCAATTTGTCAAACCTTAACCAGACATACATGCCTGCCTCATGCAATTAAAGCTGCATAAAAAATGGCATCCAAACAATATTTGTGCTGGGTTTTTTTCTGAAAGGGACGATCATGTTTAAAAGTACAACAAGCACTTAAGTTTGGAAAACCAGTGAAAGTCTGTTTAATCCACCTCCAGCACTCATGGCATTAATTATTTGGAGCTCATCTTGGCTCAATTCGGTCTGTCAAATATTTTATCTGCTGCCTCCAAACTGAGGGAACAGACTGACAGGCTGAGCAGTTTTATAATATTTAAAATATTCAGACAAGGTGAGACCGGATTATATTTATATGATCATGTCAAGAGCATCACAGATCCTCCTTCCATTGAATCTCGACGTTTATTTGTTGTTCTTTGCTGCCCCTCGTGGAACATTGTTGACCACCGCTGCAAATTGTAGTGAACTGATGTCTTCCTGATGTCTGCGACAGTGACAGTCCTCCAAAAGATATAATTAGGCATATTTTGACATGTAGGAGTGCTTTAGGGTTTTCTCTGCAGACTGGAGGAGCTCAGAGTGAGAAACTGTTGGACATCATTGACAGACTGTCAGAGATTTTTAGCAAACCTGTCCTGGCAAACGTCACAGCTGCTGGTGATTCCTTGCAGACTGAGTTTGAAGGTTTGCTGAGTGGTTGTTTGAGGCTGGGCAAAGTAAGGAAGAAAAAGTCAGAGAATCAAATTCAGTGTCAGAAAGTAGCATCTAGTTTCTCCAGTTTGTTTTAAAGAAAATCGTGAAAACACAAAATTAGCAATACTTTGAGTTATTTTTGAAGTAAAAAGAGACATTATCACGTAGAAAATGCATTTGCAAATTCTTGATAAACTGCTAGTAAAAAGATTGACCTTTTCATTTTGGTTTATGTTATATTATATGTAGAGATGGGACCGAGCTAATCTTATATCTGTACCAGTTCTGATATTGACAAAATGAACATATTGGATATCGGACTGACGGCGTCGATCCACATCCCAGATCAAGAAAGATGGTTGGGCACTTCAAAGGCCCCATTCTTGCTCCATGTCCTATTGTTTACGGGGGAAGGCAGGCTCAGAGGGCAGAACAAACACCTAGCTGTGGGAGTGTCACCCACCTGGGGGAGGGGCTACTGCCCTTTGTGATGTCATGAAGGGAAAATCTCCAAACGGCCTGTTTGAGCACACATTTTCTGAAAAGTGGAGCAGGCAAAAGACGGAGAGGATGAACTTTTCTCATGATTGAGGGGTTTGTAGACAGACTAGTGAAGTGTATTTTGCATAATATGTGATTTGTGAAGAAATCACAGAAAAAAAGGTGCACCACATTACTGCAAAGCATCTCTGAGAATCAGTCTGTTGGGTTTTTTTTCTTCACAGTATCAAAGTAAACAGGTGATAGCTGACTGACTGTACATGAATGAGTGCACACCTAAAGTTCTGTCGACGCCTATTGAGCAAACTTAAAAAGGTGCCAAATTGTGAAACAAAAAGCTAAAGAAGGCAGTTAAATACCTCCACTGAAACAAAACACATTACCATCCCCCTAGGACAACAGGAGAAAGAAAAGAGAAGACAATAGGTGTGACAAACCTGCCTTTATACTTCTGTAAAGTGTGCTTACCACTTCTTCTACTTCTTCTTCTGCAGTTTTTTGCAGAGTCGATCTCCAACCTGGTGAGAGAGAAATACACCGAGCTGACGGACAGTTGTCCCTCTACCTCGCATGCCCGTCAGAAGGCGCTGGCAGGAATCGTAATGACCCGAGGTAAGTGCTGGGTTAGGAGGACACGAGCACTGCTGCTCCAACTATGACATTATTTTCTCAGTTTCAGTCGCCTTAGTTTCCTGTACACAAACAATCAGAGTATTGCAGAGTTACGCAGTCACACCAAAGCACATGTTTGTAGTGCTCATGACGGCCACACAGAAGTATAAAGCAGGGCTTAGAAATGCTCTGACCCAGTCGTCTTGAGATCAAAATTTGTCCCCAGTTCAAAGACGCTCACATTCTAGCCCTTCTCCCGTTTTTTCCTTCAACTTCGACAACATAATGTTCCACTTCTGCCCAACACATCCCACCTTCTGACAGGTGCCATTGTGAGGAGATAATCAATGTTATTCACTTCACCTGTCAGTGGTCAGAGTGTTATGGCTGATTGGTGTGTAAGTGCAGTCCATTTACCCTTAACACTGAATTCTCAGTGCACTTTCAGGGTCCATAATGACACATCATGAGTATAACAGTGGAACAGATCGGGGGCAGCTACCTTCAAATGTTTCAAATCAAAAGAGTTTTGCTTCAGTTAAAGCTGATCCACATTTTATAACTCACATATTGTGTTACAGTGATGCATGCCAAAATTAAATGTGGGCAAAGTTTAAGATATTGAGGTATGTTGGAGTAATCCCAGGATGAGCCTACAGGGGGCGCTAAACGTCTTGTTCTGCAAATCAGGCGATAGTTCCCCAATATGAAACCAAGAATTTCACCAGACGGCTTCAAGCCTCTATGTAAGCCGCTGAAACCTTTCACATAGGCTCTCTTCTCCCAGCACTGGAGAGCAGCCCTCTTCTGGCAGCCCTGCAGCGTTCTGCTTCCAGAGAGCTGGCCAATGAAAGGAAAGTGGGCACATGGAGAGGGGGGGCCTTAAAGAGACAGCCGCTGAAACGAGCCAGTGCAGGCAGAGGCTGAAACGAGGGTTTTTACAGATGCTAGTATCAAAAAAATAAAGAACTTTTTGAGTTGAAAATCATGTAAAGCTCCTCTGCAGCAGTTGTTCTCAACTGGTCGAGCCTCAGGACCCACCAACTACTCCTTCATGGACAATCGCGACCCAAATTTCTGATATTTTTCAATCAATCAGATTTTATTTTTAATTTTTAAAAATAGAACAAAAGAAACTGAATAAAACAAGCTTGTTTAAAAAGCTCTTCAATGACTTTTTTGGCAGCATTTTTCTTCCAGGCACACATTCGCGACCCACTGAATACAGCTCCGCGACCCACTTTTGGTTCCCAACCCACCAGTTGATAATCACTAAATTAGATGTATTTTAATTTTTTTAAAGTAGAGGTTTGGACCACGATTTTACAAAACATGATAGATAAAAAATACAGAATGAAACCAGCATGTTTTAAAAGCTCTCCATAAAATATTTTTCTGGCCCACTAAAAACGGCTCAGCAACCCACTTTTGTCTCTCTATCTCCAAAGAATGTGATGTGATGGTTGGATATTTCTTCGCTGTTCACAGCTGTTGTCTCTGGAGAGTCACTGAAAGTTTAACATGAGGTGGAAAATAATGGCAGCCTGCTCACTATTAATGCAAGCCCAGCAAACTCACTAACTTACGCCCTGAATAAAAAAACAAAAAACCACGGCACACACATCGGGGAGCTATGGCTAAAAGCTGCTTTTGTCTTAGCTCTTGTTCTTGATTCAAAAAGAAAAGGAAGCATCTCTCTTAATTGTGACTTTACATGATACTCAGTCAATGAATCTGTGACTAAAATAAGGGAGAAACATCTCATACTTTATATTATTATTTAAAAAGTGTGGATGGAAATGTTTTTGCTTTTCTTGATTCGAAGCAATCAGACGTGTGCAGGAGCGTCTGAGTCCCTCCAACATAAAAATGAATCACTGCAATACGAACAAACACTTTACCTCAAATTACCCCGCAGATCCAGAGGGGAGACAGTCATCCTCGCCGCCGCCCTGTGAATCTTTGATGAGGCCAGATTGCAACACAAAAGCCTGTTTTTGAGACATCGGAGTGATTGTTCCGTCATACACTTTTCATTACCCCGTCCCAGCCTGTTAACGTTCTGCTTGTCATCGGCGGAGGAGAGGAAATGTCTTGTTTTCCTGTTCTGAGAGTCAAATCTTTTAACTGCTTCATGTTGAACGTCTTGTTCCATCAGACAGGCGATCATTTTCCTCAATCTGTTTTCTGAGACTCTCATCCGTTTTTTTTAGGGTTTGACCTCAGATCCGCACGGGTTGTGTCTCTGGCCACAGGGACAAAGTGTTTGGACTCGGACAATGTGAGTGACCACGGTGGGACGCTCAGAGACTGCCACGCCGAAGCTGTCAGCAGGAGGGCGCTGGTTCGATTCCTGTATGCTCAGCTGGAGCTTCTGCTCTGGTACGCACCTAAACCCAAAAAATTAACCTCCCTCCTTTATGTCTTCAAACTAAACCATATGACCTTTTAAATAAAAGAAAATGAAGGGATATTGTGTTTTTGTCATTGCCAGATGAATCGACATTTGGTGCTTAAATGATTGAAGTATTTCTGGCAGCAGGGTGGTGTGTTTGATTTAAAATTGCAGAGTGCTTTCATGGTAAATTCAGACGTCACTAATTGCATCAGTCTGGCACATGCATAATTTCTATAATAGCTTCGGACAACAAATGGGGCTGTATCGTTTTAGGGCTTTCATACATGCAGAAAACTCCTAAAAAACTCCAGGAGGAGCTGTATATGTGGGAACGCAAACAGCTGAGTTTGTCCTGCCAGACCCCCTAGTATTTTTTCTGCAGCAAGTCTGAGTGAGCTGATGTGAGAATGCAGCAGGATATTCTCCAGAGAATTCACCTCTTGTGTTCTTCAGTATGTTCTTCTTCACTCTTTAGTTCAGATTGATATAAAGGCAAATATTCTCATTATGGCATCATGTAGCGGACTCTGTTCCTTCGTTCCGCTTCTTCCACATCTTTTTTTTAACGTCATGTCTTACCTCAGGAGACCCCCCGCCCTCCCTCCTGTCTGACAGGGATAGTCTGCCGCTGTGAGGTGCATGTGTGAACAGCCAGGCCAGGAGAATATCTGGAGCATTCAGGAGTGCAAATGTAAAAACGGCTTTCAGAGAAATGTGCCAAAAAAGAAGCCTTCTACAAAACACGAGAAATATGTGCAGCTCATTAAAGTTGTTTCTGAAGAAAGCAAAAATGTAGAGCTAGAGCAAACAGTCTGCAAATACATTGATGAGTCATATGTGGGCATTGCAACAAAAGTCTTCCAGGCCTGTAGTGCTTTAGGATTTAGGCGTTGTGGAATAAACAGTTCCGATAAGATTTGGGCCACGCTTTGTCAGGTTTCTCCCGCTGTGTGGGAAAAGATTATTCCAGACATTTACAGTAACCAATTGCCATGAAATCGTCTGAAAACTGTTTCGAAGTTTATGTTGATTTCTTTCCTTATTTCCTCATCTGAAGTAAGCGAGCAGATTGTGCGGAACGATCCATCTTTGTGCCCAATAAAGTCGGCAGTGACTGTGGTGGCAGCAACAGCGGCTTCAGATTACAAGATGGCGTCCTCTTCCACATGTACGTCAGCTCGTCGCCGTGCGGAGACGCTCGGCTCAACTGCCCCTACGAGACCACAGCTGCATGTGAGAAGATGATGGTGAAAATGATGATGTCACTCTGGTGTTTCATATTTCTACTTTTTGTTTCATAACCAACATGTACTTATTCAAACTGAAATACCTTTAATTAATAATCAATTCGTTCTGCTGCTAATAATTTGCTCAGGCAGTTGCATTTATTTTTAAAAGATGAAAACACTTAAGCTCAGTGAAAACATGAATTTATAAATACCAGAACTTCAGGCTTCATTAGGCAGCTTTGTCAGTGTTTATTCTTTTTTCTGTTTTCCTCGTGACAGTTCGCAGCCGCAGATTTCGCTGTCACCTCAGGGTGAAGGTGGACGGAGGCGAGGGGACGCTGCCTTTTACAGCACGAAGAGCCAATCAGAAAAGGGATGGTGTGGCACTGGGCAAACCTTTCGTCACCATGTCATGCACGGACAAGATGGCAAAGTGAGTTTTTAACCCACCTTTGAAGGTATGTAGTGATATTTAGGGCTCTTCAGAGCAAGACTATTACTGACATTTGCCCGTAAAAGTATATAACAGCAATTTAGATGTACAGTCCTTCAGTAAAGGTTACTACATACTGCCATATTCTTTTAATGCAAAAAATAGTCCCAAATGCCATATGCCATGATATGCTTAAAGGCAGGGTTGGTAACTTTCTAAAACTAGCATTCCCTCAGTGCTTCGTCTGCACCCAACCCCTCCTCTCTGTGCTCCCTCTAAAGCCACGCCCCCTCACTGACATGCACGAGCGCCATTGGTCCAGAAGTGGACCTCTTTGAGTGTGGGCTCGTGCATGCATTGGGTAGAGAGCGAGCAGGGAGACAGGGAGGTGTCTGATTGGTTCATCAGATTGGTACCTCGTGGCAGACATTGGTTGAAGTTTTTACAGGCTTACAAACTGCTACAGATGACAGATTTTCTTTGTTCCTTTTTCAGAGAACATGAGTTATTAATTTCTGTCAGGACCTAAAGACAATTTTAACCAAAATCTTACCAACCCTGACTTTATTGTGGTAAAGTTTTATAGTGGTTAAAAAGTTTGAAATATGCAAACGTCCGCTTTTAAGGGTGAAAATAAGCCTGAAGAAAAAGGTATCCAGAAAGAGGAAAGGTTTATTTTAAAGGTAGAGTCAGTGACATTTCCATTCCAACACAACACAACCTTCAAACCCAAGCTATCCCACACTAGCACAAGCTAACCACAGGTGTTTGGCACAAAAAATATATCAGGCAAAAAATATTGTCAATATATTGGTTTTTTTTAAGGCATGTTTGTCTCAACAGGTGGAGTGTTTTGGGCCTCCAAGGGGCTCTCTTGTCTCACCTGGTGGAGCCAGTATACCTGCACAGCCTGACGGTGGGGACACTCAGCCACACAGGTCACCTGTGCCGGGCCATGACACGACGCCTCGCACCTGTCAAGCACCTACCATTCCCATACAGAAGACAGCAGCTGCTGCTAGGCTGTAGGTACAAGTGAAGTCTGGAAGTATCTGCTTTTACATCCAGTTCAATTTGCACATAAAAGTAGAGAAGAGCAAACTTTTTTTGAGTAAAGGTAACCACCTACAGTCATATTTCTTTCACTGTTGCTGCTAATTATACAAAAACTACAAGTCCAAGTCAAGATTTATCTGACGTTGCAGCCAGTGTCAAAGATGAGAAACGCTGTAGAAAATGTTTGTAAAAAAGTTTTACAAAAGCAGACATCTCTAGAAATTAAACCCATGTCAATTTTACAGGGTTGAAAAAACATAAGAAAAATGAATCTGGCAAAAGCAATTAACAAGATTCAACAACAAAAGGTTTATGTTAAGAGGACATGAAGGCTAAAAGCTTAAACTAGCTGCTAGCTGTTTTTAAAAATCCATTGCAGCAGGAGATTAGTACACTTACAAACATGTAGACATTTTTAAAGGTCTCTGTTTCCACGGCAAACCTCCTATAAGTGCCCCCTCCCCTCCCCCTCGATTGTTAAAATATCTACTTTGTGCTCATCTGGAAAATTCATGTACTTGCTCTAAGTGCACTCATCCAATTTAAACAAGAATTGGACAGAAGTTGAACTGACAGCTGAAAAGTCAAAGAATCACAAAAGTATTAACAACTCATCCTGCTTCTCCGTCCAATAGCTGTTTAGACGTATCACTATGATGGACTTAAAACTAGTGTTTGTGATACCGTGCTGTTCAGTTCTCAATCCATCCCTGTTGTTCCTCTTTTTCTGCACAGGTCTGAGCAGCAGGGATGTGCGGCCGGCGGGGAAAACGCCGAATGTCAGTGTGAACTGGAGCTGTGGCGATGAAGCCTTGGAGGAGATTAGCACTTCCACAGGAAGGAAAAGGGACTCAGGGACGCCGTCACGGCTCTGCAGGCGCTCCATGTTCACCCGCTGGCAGAGGCTGCAGCAGCAGGTGGGTTGGAGACTCTTAAGCCGTTTTCACACTTGCACAAAACTCCGGAAAAACTCCTAATTTTTCAGGGTGAGCTGCATGTGTGAATGCAAACAGCTGAAGTCTTCACTTGGAATTGATCCAGAGTTTCTCCTGCCAGCCCCCTGGTATTTTTTCTGCAGAAAGTCCGACTTAGCTGACATAAGAAAGCAGCAGGATATTTTCAGGAGAATTCACATTGAGCAAGTGGAAGGGGGTGGAGACATTTCCATTCTATTTCAAGACTATATGCCGTTGCTATTAGCATTGATATAAAGGCAAATATTATCTTTATAGTGTCATATAGTGGACTCTGGTGCTCCTTGTTGTTATTTGCACATCATGTCTTGCCTCAGGAACACCCCTCCCCCGCTTCCCATCCATCAGGAAAAATCTCCCTCCATGATCGTTGAGTTGTGAACAAGCAGATCAGGAGGGTTTCATCGACATTCCTCCTGAAATTGTCAGGTGTTCAGGTGTGCATAATTTTAAAACTGCTTCAGAGACCCTTAAACCTTGTGAGGAGGAGGCTCAGGCTGAGAGGGGATTTGACTCACTCTGCTGCTACATGAAAAATTGCTGAAGATGTCATCATCGAGGCTTCTTTATCACGGCGCTTGAATGCTCTTTCAGTTGCCTGGTGGGGAGATAATGAGATATGACATTGTTTGATCAATTAGTAAAGCACTATACAAATCAGTAATAAAGGCTTTTTGAGTGATATAGATTGAATTTCTCATAACAAGGATGTTCAGAGGTCTACAAAATTAAATTGGCACATTGAAGTAATCTTTGTCTTAATGAAAAAAAGAGAAAAATACCCTATAATTATCTTTTTGAAAGCAGGGATTTAACTTCCTCTTTGAGACTTAAATATGTATGCTGAGAGTGTTGCATTGGACCAGACGGCCTTGTTTTAAAAATTGATCGCGGCAGAAAGAGTCATAATTATTTACAAAAGCAACTGGACTTGATGTAAGTAAAACTTCTCTGAATATCACAAGGAAGAGAGGATCTAAGAGAGTTGTGCACAGATGACAATAAGCTGGATGGCGGTGCAGTATTTTGAATTACTTGAATACTTTGGGAAACTTAAATGAAGGGAGGCTTGGGAAGAAAAAAGCTGCAATTTAGCAAAAGGAGGGACAGGAGAAAAAAAGTTACATCTGTGAATCTAAAGTTTAGTCATGCTTTTCCTACATTGACAAACAACTGCTGTGTAACATACTGAATTTTATCGGGCATCATTTTAAGGTTGTTGATAAGTACAAAAGATAAATGACGTTTTATTTGAGCAGAGAACTCATAAACTCCAGTGGTTTCAGTATCTACATTTTGATTTGAAAGAAATTACTGATGCTTATGTTAAATTTTTTTTGGTAGCTTTGGTAGAATACCATGTTTTATGTCTCTTTTCTTTTTTAGTTGAATGGACAGATATTGGGCGCAGAAGCCACTTCGAGGACATACTCTGGTTCCAAGATGGCTGCAGGACAATACCAAAGGGCGATGCAGCAGTTCAACAGCGCTTTGCAGAGTGGAGGGTTGGGAACTTGGCTCAGAAAACCCCAAGAACTTTGCAACTTTGACAACCGAGCATGAAGACGCGTGTTAAAGGTTAAAGGGTTTGGGAGGAGTGTATGTTTTTATCAGTCAGTATTTGGCTAATACAAAGAGTGTGGCACTATTCAGTGAAGACAGTTGGGAAATTCACCTTCATCAATCTGTGTTTTATTTGAGAGAAAAATACTATTATGCAATTGCACACAGAAGCACACAGAGGAGCAAATCAAGTTGGGGAAAAACAGGAGTTAACTTTGTTGGTGTTTAACGTTAGTTCATGCTGCTTGAAAGGCTTTTGCAAGCATCACTGCAGCTGCTGAGCTATAATAATAAGTAAGCAGTTCATTGTCTCATCATACAAACTGCAATTAATGACAGCCTCTTAATACTTGGCTGATATAGAACACTTCTTAGAGCTTTTTCTCCCACCCAGCGAAAACAGTAGTCAAAATTGACAAACTGGCAGTGAAATATCTGCAAATTATCACAAATATAATCAGTTTATTAGAGGGTGAACTGTAACTGTTTTTTATAAGTTGACAAACACTGACCAGTGTTCATCACAATATTAAAAAACCCACGCAATTTAGACTTTTTGAAACAACCTGGTGGGATTTGAAAGCTAGCAGCTAGGCTAACCAAATACAATCTTGGAAAAAGGGAGAGCAAGATTAAACATGGCATGACTGTTTTATCGTCCCGGAGGAAACACATACGAGACGAGACTGACTCCATAAATAATGGATGGTGAAAGGTTGCCCTTTTCAACCCACTGTGAATAGCATTTGTTACCCAAAGATTACCCACTAGGACCCATTCATCCCATTAAATATTGCTTGTTTATGTTTGTATACTTTAAAGGGACCTTCACAATAATAACAATGTATCAGCCTTATTGTACAAGTGAGCAGAGTCTAAAATGTCCCCACTTTCCTGTGGGGTCCTCACTGTGGTCGTGTTAGATATTGGTCCTCACAAGCACCGCAATACAAGAGCACACACACAGAACTCGTTATTGTCCCTCAAGAGTACATTACACTGACTTGTATCATTTCCCTGGTGACTTACCTTAACTTCATCTGTAACCACTTTATCCAAAACTGTACCTCAAACTTCACCAAAAACCAGCTAACACCCTCCCAATATTAAATGGTTTATCCTGAGGGGGCCTGCTTTTTGTTCCTCAATGGGTGGTGGGTCCCCACAATGTCTGTGCGAGCAAATGTATCTCACCCTTTGTGTGATTATCACAACATACCTGATGAATGTAAAGCTAAATCAGTTTCATTAGTAACAACACTTTCTGGTTTCTAGTTTCTTCTTTTTGTCTGTTTTTTTTGTTTCCCTTTGAAAAGTTGTGTTCTCTTGTTTCAGTGACATATTCAGTATTTGAACTCGTGTTTAATTTTGCTGATGGGTTTTCCATCTTCATTTAATCAGTGTTGTAGACTGCAGGAGTGCATGAGGCTCAGGGTTGAATGCTTGCTGCCACCTAGAGGAACATTCAGTACATTGCAAGATATGGAGCCCATGATTTGCTGAAGGGATAGATTTTTACATCTCGTGTTTTGTTGAGCCTGTGCTTCATTTTTGTCCTTTCATTTCTCCTTTTACCTCTAAAAAACATTTATTAATTTAGTTGTTACAAAGTCTTACCGTATTTCTTCTTGTTTGTCCCTCATTTATTTTAAAGATTTTTTTCTGAGGCAAGGAATGTAACAGAGTACTACTGAAAGTTGCTGGTGTTGAATGCTGTACACTTTTATTAATAAGAATGCAGAAAGGATTTAGTCTACATTGGTCCTGACTATTTTTATCACTGTGAATAAATGATATTATTTGTGTTAATTTTTGTGTTTGTGCATCCTATTTCACGTTACAGTAAAGTGTGCCAGACCACTTCTTCCGTATGTAGGTCTGAGCTGTCGGTCCTCGCTCGGTCGTCGGGATACATTAGGGTGCGTTCACACCTAGCATTAAGGCTTTCCCCTTGTTATCACCCAGGAAGGATGTTAATGCTAGTGCTAGGAAAAGTGGATTTATTGTGTTAGTGTGATTAAAACTCGACTTTGAAATACATGTAAACATGTTCGTCCAGCTAAAATCATAATAGGTCAAATTTCTCAAGGTCAGACTAACACATCTGGATAATACTGTTGGGGATCGATTTACTCTTGTATGTATACACCTCAATCGGACCCAAACTGGCCTAAGCACTCTGAGCATGCTCCACAGTTTCCATGCCGACCTTTGACCCCGCCTGGAAGACGAACGTAGCAGAAGTTGCCTTGATGCTTACCTTGGATATAACAATAAGCTAAAGAGATAGCATGCATCCCGTTAGGACCAAAAGTAAAGTGTCTATGTTCAGAGTTCTGAAGTTTTTACTGAATGACATACAACCAGTTTGCTGTTTGCTAACTTGTTAGCAAGGTCAGCCAGAAGAAGTTCCAATAGTAACTTGATAAAAGGCGTCGTATCTCCTCCTCCTCTGGCGGAGTCTGACATACTGTACTTCTGTCAATAACTCAGTTCTACCTTGGTGTTTGTGTACTGGGAAGAACAGTAGTCCAATGCAACTTGAATGTAGCCTAATAGACCATTGGTTGGTAGGGAGGGTGAGGGGGCGCCAAAGACCTCATGGGGGGTGCAGGGCTTTGTCTGCCCTAAGGTTTTCAAAATCAAAATCACACATACCAACTAAAATCATGATTGGACACTTACTGAATAGTTTGTGATAAGGTCTTTTGGTAAAAACAAGTGTTTGTAAACCCATTCGGTTGGGGTTTTATCAATGACAACTTTTAAGATTTATGTTCATACCTGACAGCCCCCCCCCCCTTTGATTCCTTGGGGGTCCTACCTTTTCTTAGATAATAAGGTTGAGAACCACTGTCATAGACAACCAAAAAAACAATCAAGAAGAACAAATATTCAAACAGCAAGAATGGTTTATTTTGATTTTACAAGCAAATACTTGTTCCTCATTACACAGTTACAATCCACATAACTGCCCTCAAGTCCACCAACAGGTTTTCTTCTTTTACTTATGAGAATTGAGCTGTGGTGTCTGTTTCTGTACATCCAACACTGTGATCACAAACAACACTGCTACAGAGCCACATTTAACACAGCTTCACGAGAACGGTGGATTTGAGGTGACGTGATCAGGGGTTCATTGTGACTGAAAATGTGAACATTGTGACGGATCGTGAAGGTGAATTAAAGACATGGCAGCGAGGTCGGCTCAGTGTTGGTCGAGAACGAAGCTGAGTGTAGTGAAAATAGTTTAAACCTTATATAAAGAAGGAAAAACATAATTGGAAAAGACTACAGTTCAAAACATTATCACACAAATAGTTCTTAAATTATCTTCACAAAAACAGACTTCTTGTCAGTTACACCTGGGGCGACTTCCAACCAGTGGTTTCTTTAGGATAATTATTGCAGCTAGATGGAATAAAAATAAATGCATTTGGTGAATTATATAAATAACGGGTATAAATAAGAAACAAAAACAAAGTACGATTCAAAGTTTGTAGTAAGGTGACTAATGTGGAGGGCTAAAAGATCTACGGAAAGTGAACACACCAGTAGACGACGGTGTGATTTCGAGATGAAACAACACCTGAACGCTCACACACTCTTCCTTCTCCTGAGCGGTGAGGCCTGTTTTTGTTGTAGTCCATCTAATTTGCAAAAAGTCACAGTTTTCAGAGGAACAGCATATTGCCGGTTTACACGACGACGGAGAGGGTGCCCTCGTCTGAATTCGACATTAAAACGAGATAAACTGCGAGTTTTGGGCACCTCACAACATCATTTGAAGAGTTAAAAATAGAAAGGTCCTTGTCAGAACTTCACTTTGGGATGTTAACATATATATGCTTCAATCCTTCCCTTTACACATCTGCCAAAACACGTAGCTGGCAAATGAGAGCTGTAGCCTTTCCGAGGGCGCGCAGCATTTTAAAACCTTCCTTTACCGCCAGGTACGCTTTCAATGAAAGCCCCGTTTCCACCAAGCAGTCCGGTTTGGTTCAGTACAGTTCGGTACGTTAAACCCTGAACTTGCTTGTACCCTTATTCTGTAAGCGGAGTGTAAGCCAGATGGAGATGGCCGCGTCAGCTATGTAAATGTGTGACATCATAACAGCCCAACACAGTATAGCCCGCTATTAATTAAGTTAAAAGTTCAAGAAGAATGGGACACAGTAAACAAAAGGGACCTTTTAGGGTCGGCTCGGTACCATGGCACCCCAGCAGAAGGATATCAAAAAAGTAGGACAGTACAGACCTCTTATTTTGGCACCATTCCCAACTTTTGACAGTGGAAACGCCAATAAATGGGTACCTTACCGAACCAAACTGAACCAGACCGCTTGGTGGAAACCGGGCCTAAGTGGAGTGTAAGCCAGATGGAGATATCTACGTCAGCTATGTAATAGTGTGACATCATAGCAGCCCAACACAGTGTAGCCCGCTATTAATTAAGTTAAACATTAAAGAAGAAGAACAGGGACAAAGTAAACAAAAGGGACTGTTTAGGGTCGGATCGGTAATCTTGGCACCCAAACAGAAGGGTACCAAAAAAGTAGGACGGTACAGATCCCTTATTTTGGTACCATTCCCAACTTTTGACAGTGGAAATTGCCAATAAATGGGTACCGTACCGAACCGAAATGAACCGGACCGCTTGCTGGAAACAGGGCTTTAGTGAGTGAGGTCATGGGAAAACTATTTTTTTAAAACTGGGAATGTTTGACAGTCAGGTAATGCCAATCACTAAAGACATCACCGTTATCTCCCCTGGTATAACTAACAATAATAACTCTGTTTTATGTGAATGTGAAGCCTTTGAAAATAATTCATTATGAAGCAAAAAACTGGATTTACACAAGTTTAAAAGAAACGAAACACTGGATCAGGTCATCACGTTATGACGGCTAATAAACAATGCTGCAGCTGAAGAACACTAAAACGCCAAACTGGCAAATTTCTTCATATATTACAATTTAAATCGTACAAATGTTGTGGTT